TCTCATTTTCCAGCACTTGATCCATAGCCTTATATGCCTGGGTGTCACAAATACCCATTTAAATGCTTCTTAAATGTTATAAGTGTTTCTGCTTCCATCCTTACAGACAGTGAGTTCTAGATTCCCACTACCATCAGGGTGAAAGTGTTTTTCCTCACATCTCCTGTTAAACCTTCTACCCGTTTTACCTTAAACCTATACGCCTGGTCATTGATCCCTCCTCCAAGGGGAAATGTTCCTTCTGACTACCCTGTCTGCATCCCCGATGAATTTTATACACCTTGACCATGAGAACCAGGAGCAGTAGGCCATTTGGCTCCTTGAGCCTGCTCCTCCATTCAATAAGATCATGGCTGATCCAACATTCCTCACATCCACTTTCCTGCATTTTCCCTGTAACCCCTAATTTCCCCGACTGATCGAGAATCAAGTACCTTCCTCCGTCTCCTCTGCTCCGTGGAAAAATGTCTTTTGTAAAGTCAACACCCCCAGACACCGATTATTTTGAGCTTTGGATCTTGCCTGCAGTAAGTAACTGCCCTAAGGATTCTTTTGCGGCAAATACAGTTTTATAGCAAAGCCAATTGATCAGCTGAAGTACCTATAAACACACATGAGAGTAGTCAATCCTTTGCTTTTGGCTAGCTCTGAACAAGTTTGTTTAGACACCACTAACGTCGTAACTCACGAGAAGCACAGTTTCAGATGTCACTTGATTTCTTGCCTTATTTAAATCTGTGACTCATTTCCATCCTACTCCTTCTGCCTGTCAATGAGTTAGAAGCAGTGTAGAAGTCTCCCTACCTTGCCCTCAGTGCATTACAGCAATCGCTTCATTTCTACACCACAGCAGAAACGCTGGGTGGAATTTTCCCCTAATCCTGATGGCGAATGAGCTGGTGAGAAGGGGAAATAATGAGTGAGTTGGCCCTGGTAAGAATGAATTGAATAATTTATTGTCATGGGTATTCAGTATAAAATACTCTGAAAAGTTTATACTGCCACTATGCACCGCTCTCATTAACTCAAAATAAAATAAAAAATAAAGGAAGAAAACTTAAAGAGAGCGCGCCTTTTCCTTCTCTGTCACTCTGGGCTTCACAGGCCGGCCAGACAACTCTGTAGCCACACTGCCGCTCCGAACCCCATCGAAGCTGCCTTTCCTACCGAAGAGCTCTCTTTAGAAGATAACTTTAAGCAAAATCTAAAAAACAAACTGTGAAATGAAGACGAGGGAGAAAGGAAAAGAATAGACAAAAGAGGACGAGCCCAGGCACAGGAGCCCGGACGCTGCCTTCCCCATTGCCACCATGTTGGTGTGGTGATACTCATAACTTCCTGTATATCCAGAGCCGCCTTGATGCCATGTCATCTCGCCAGTGTTGGCAGATTGTCTTCCTTGCCCGTTGCTGGAATGAACCACTCAGGAGCTCAATGAAGGGCCTGTTCCCACCTCTGGTCTACCAGCAGTGAGGGAAGGTTCCCACTCACACTTGGGGATGCTGGGGCAGCCTCCATGTGGGCTACGTGGTTGAGGGGGGGGAGGTGGTTACCTGTCTTTCTGGAGACCCCACAGTGGCATTGGCAGCCCTATGACAATGGTGCTTCCTGCCATCAGTGAGAACCCACCCCACCGGCCCAGCCCCGACTTTGTTGGAGACTACCAGCACCCTCAGACTCCAGTCACCTTACTCTGAGGGCACCCGTCTATAGCAGCACCCTCACCCTTTTTGATGCAACTATCATCCCTATCTGTGGTGTTGCTGAGTGGTTGGCCTTCTGATTGGTCCTGATCAGGGTAGGCTGCGATCTTTAATGAGACAGTCATCACTTAAATGCATTCCAAGGTCCCACTGTCTGCTAAAAATGGGATTTCAGTCCCATCAGTGGGTTCCCTGCTGACTTTGAGAGCTCCCAGTCTATATTTCAGGAATGTTGTACTGGTTGTAAAATGGCTTTGAACTTGGAGTCAGAGTCATGCAGCATGGAAATAGACTGTTCAGTCTAACTCATCCATGCTGACCAGATATCCTAAATTTATCTAGTCCCATTTGCCTGCGTTTGGTCCATATCCCTCTAAACCCTTCCTATTCATGTACCCATCCAGATGGCTTTTAAATGTTATAATTGTACCAGCCTCCACCACTTCCTCTGACAGCTCATTCCATACACGCACCACCCTCTGTGTGAAAAAGTTACCCCTCCGGTCCCTTTTATATATTTCCTCTCTCACCTTAATCACATGCCGTCTAGTTTTGGACTCCCCTACCCTGAGGGAAAAGACCTCAGACATTCACCCTATCCACGCCCCTCATGATTTTATAAACTTCTATAAGGTCATCCCTCGGTCTCTGACACTCCAGGGAACATAGCCCCAGTCGATACAGCTTCTCCCTATAGCTCAAACCCTCCAACCTTGGCAACATCCTTG